TTTTTTGTGTAGATCCTAATTGTAGCAAGACAACATATTTCCTCTCCACCTTTACTGATTGATCCGAGTTCTTACTGTAAGTGGCATTGTAGCCAATCAGAGGCCGCGGTAAACAGTTCTTATCGTAGTCAGCGCTGCTATTGGTCAGTTTGAGGAACCCTTTTTTGCAGATGTACGTGTGCAAGTATTGTAATAGTTTCATAAGCAAAACTAATGATATTCGAATATAATAGTTTTTAAAATAGATTCCGAATTTCAAAAAAGGTGAAATAAGTGTAAAACTAGTACACCTGCTAAAACGCCATAAACAACTGACCAATGGCGGTGTGGTCTACGGTAGCTACAAACTGTCATAATACCCGGACTGTAATTGGCTAATACACTCGATGCCGCAAAACGTAGAAAATAATTGCGCTTTTTTTCTATTAAACACACTTCCATGAGATAAAAATGCCACAAAAAAGATTCCCCTAATAAGGAGTGGGACATTTCGCCACCATAAATGGCTAATCCTCTTGAAAGAAAGCAATGTTATGTACGCAAACATACTTGGTAAAATTCTATTTCTAAACAATATAGCTAACAATATATAGCTAGCCAACAAGATTCTTTAGTTTTCTAACCAAGTAAAATTTCCGCAAACTCACAATATTGGGCTTGAAAGGTGGTGGGACTTGTCGTGTCTCGAATCGTTTCCAGTCGACACCACGGAAGAATGAATGTTGCCTAATTGGTCCGTCCGGACATTCGGGCATCCCTAGTCGAGTGTTCGGATTACGATCGAATAGCTAAAAAATCAACAACTGCAATTCTTTAAAATGCCAAAAAATTTCTTTAGTTAAGATACTTACAGCACTCAAACATTTCGCCGCTTCTTTCGAAATGGTCTTCGGGAAGTAAGGGCGATCGCTAAGGATTGAATCAAAGAGCTCATCTTCACCTTCACCATGGAATGGTGATTGTCCGACTAACATTTCGTACATCTGCAAAATGTACCGTAATGCTACCGTAAGCAAATGGGAGAACTGGGATATGGCCATTTTGCATGACAGTAAGCAATAGCCACGATGCGTGACTTGCCTTAACACGTTGCGCGCGCGGAAAAACTTTCTCCCCCTCCCTGTCCCTGTCACTACAACTGCACAGAAGGTCCTGTGTGGAATTCCTGACTGCACATTACAGTCATGCAAATCGGCCCCCAACCCTGCGAAGACTCACCAAAACGCCAAATGACCAGAAATCTACAGCTTCGTTGTATAATTGCCCTTTGATAATCTGAAATAGGGAAAAATGCACTAAAGGACAAGAAAGGGCGAAAATTTTGCGCTAATCTCACCTCAGGGCTGATGTAGTCAGGAGTTCCGCAAAATGTCGATGCCATACCATTCTCACGGTTCATCTCGGTCTTAGCCATGCCAAAGTCGGCCAATTTCACATGTCCTTCAGAGTCGAGCAGGATGTTGTCCAGCTTCAAATCTCTAGAAAAAAAATAAGGGGTTATGCAGTTGTACGCAGTCACGGACGATGTTCCAGAGAATTTCTCACCGATAAATAATATTATTTGCGTGTAAAAATTGCAGGGCAACGATAATCTCGCAAGCATAGAACCGAGTTCGATTCTCGTCGAATTTCTTCACTTGTTGAATATGATGCATCAAATCACCACCATTCAAATATTCCATAACAAAGAATAAATATTCCTAAACAGTTTCTCAAATGAATCTCAAAAATTCCGAAAAAGCCAAAAAATAGCTTACGTTTGTCTGGAAAGAGCAGAACAGCTGACAAAGGAATGGGCATTGGCTAGCTAGAATTAGCACTCGTCGTTCTATATAAGTACATTCGGTGTCATCATCTTCTAGTATAACGTCTTTTTTCAGACATTTCATTGCATAATACTCGTTCTTTCCTTTTAGCTCGACAAGCATGACCTGAAAGTGAATTTTTTTACAGTTTAGATTACTAATTCGAGAGCGAATTGAATTGTTCAAGACCGCAAAAAGCTTCAGAAATATCGAACAAATTACAAATTTGAAGAAATTTTTCAGCTGATGAAGGAAAATTTTTTTCAATTTTGTCAAAACAATAGCTTAAACACTCGAATAAGCTGCTTAACCCCGCTTATTAGAAAGCTTTGACTATAAGCTTTGGTCGCGAATCCAATAACTCGAGGATAATCGCAGATTCTAAACTTTATAAAAACATTTCTTAATCTCGGAGAGAGATTTTGGAAACTACTACTGCACCAAACCAGGAAGTTTACAAATGAACAGAAGACCAGAAAGTGATTCGGCATTATTATCCAGAAAGCTTTGGTGATTTTTGGTTTGAAACGACTCCGATAATTGAATTAGTCGTAAAATAAATTTCGTTTTAAATTTTTTGTAAGGATGTTGCAAACAAATGCTCATAAATGTGTGGCACCACCAGATTTTCTGCGAGATATTCACGTTTTTGATGCCGCAAAAAAGTGGAACAAATAGTCAGTTTCCATTTTTCTCCTTTTTGGATTTCGGACTGCAAATTGAAAAAGGAAATTTGTGTTTGATAAAATATCACTCTGGTAGCAATATGAGACTTCAGCGAAAGTAAAAGCAAATTGAATTCAAAAGTAACAAGCAAATAAAATGTAATATGAACTGCATGAAAACCATTTTTCATGAAAACTAGTATGAAAAAGAGCCCTACTAAAAATAACCTTTGATAAAATATACTTTTCCAAAAATATACTAATTTGAGTGCGAAAGAGATTGATGGAAACTGATATGATTTCTCATTTTTCAAATCTTTCACCTAGTCTCAAATGGAAGAAAATGATTTGTTTTGTCTATTAGTTACCTTTCCGAAGCTTCCTTTTCCAAGCACTTTCAATAGATTGAAATGTTGCAAGCCAAACTTCTTCACAGGTCCATCGCCTCCTGTCCAGATATTGTTCATGTACCT